TTTTGACGGACGACCAAAATCACCCCGCTTTTTGCCCATTTTCGGTCATCCGTCAAAATATCTGAAGATCTGAATGGGGGATTCTCCCCAAACCTTGCTCAGCTGATCCAGCATGGGTCGTAGGCCAGGCCTGGGCAAAGAAACCAATACCTCAATTGGCTTGGCTGAGCGTCACAGCTCGATGATCGCGGTTCGCGCCGGCCGGACACCACTGTAACGTCCGTTCCGGGCATTTGAACGCGACCTTCGGGGGCAAAGACATGGGCTCTATGGCTCTCAGACTGGACTCCTCTTGGTCCCTTCTGATGCCCTAGGCCATACCTGGGCCTTACCTGGGGTTCTAGGGGGCGGGCGGGGTTTGCCCCCCGAAACTGGCCCGAGGGACCTTAATGCCCGCAACCCACTGTATCGCCCACAAGGGTATAGCATGGAGAGTCAGGCGCGCGGGGAGAGGGGGGGGGGGGGGTCGCCCAGATGGAGTGACGCCATGCCTTCCTTTGGTTGTGGGGTCTCTAGGGGGTCTCTGTGGCGTAGCGAACGGATGCGCAGTGGCCGCTGGCAACTTGTCGGAGCTTCCGAGGTAACATCCCTAGGAAAGTGTTCGGTGCGGTGGATGGTCAGCTCGGGGCGCGTGAGCCGGACTTGGGGGCCGGTCGGCTTTCATTTCTCTCTGCGTTCTCGCGCACATGGAGTGCGAGGTGTCGCCGTCCCAAACTGGCACTCTGTGTATCGCGCGCCTCACTCCCCTTTCTCCCGGGGCGGGGCGCGGGGGCGGCGGGTGTGCGGCGGGTATCGAAGGCTAGCTCAAAAGAAACAACGCGAAATCATCGCGGAGGGCCTGAGCAGAACACACAAGAGGCGCCCGGGCGCTGCGGTAGCCTCGCGATGGCCGCGCCAGATGCGCACCGCGACAAGCGGGCCAAGGCGGGGCCCGTCCTCTATCCGATGGATGAGCCTCTGCTGCGAAAGTGCGACGCGCTGATGAAGAACCTCGCGAAAAAGTCCCAGGCGCGCAAAACGCTGCGCACACACAGAGATATCCCATGCTCGCCGCGTCACAGCACGCATCGAATGGCTGCGATTCAGCGGTCGCGCCGCTGAGCGTTCAGGTCGAGCTCGGCGAGGTGAGCAAGATCATCCATCGGCGCGCGACAGCTGAATCGCAAAAGCGTTGTCCGTTGAGGAACGCGAGACAGATCGCGTTTCGCGTTTCAGTTTCACAAAAGGTACCACCCTCCCTATAGTGCTCCCCAGCGGATACCCTGATACCAGGTGCCGATCGCGCGACTCGCCCGGATACCCTGTGCCCGCCAACACCCCATACCCCCGCCGGACGTTTCGGAGGCTACTTGCGAGCCACTCGTCGCCACTGCCCTATGCGCTGTCTATGGCCACCGAGTCCCCGCCGCCATGGGGCGAGCCCGTCGCGGCTGCGCACTCTCCGGCCGAGGGCGCAGCGTAGGAGCCGTTCGCCGCCTCGACAACCTAGCAGCCAGGCCATGCATGCCCGGAGCCGGATGCGCGAGCCACGCGGCAGAGCGTACCCTCGGCCGGCCCCCTGAGGGAGGGAGCGGAGGGTGCAGAGGATGTAGTGTAGAGCGCTGTAGAGAGCTGTAGAGCTGTAGAGCGCTCTGGATTCTACATATCGCCCTCGGGTATAGCAACACGGAACGGAGGGTCAGCACAGGCGCGCGGGGGGGGAGGGGGGGGGGGGGTCACCCAGATGTGGAGTGACGCCAATGCGCTGAGATGGCCCGAGATGGCCCGAGATGAGCCGAGATGAGCCGAGATGAGCCGAGATGAGCCGAGATGAGCCGAGATGAGCCGAGATGCGTTGTGCGTCAATCTGCCGCGAGCCGTTTCGCTGCTGGCCTTCCCACCGCTTTACGAGGAGCTCGTAACAGGGCTCGTAATTGGCATGTGCCTATGGACGCTCTCTCACAGGCTATGACCTATGAATGACAGAAAAGAGAAAACGGTGGAAAAGAAAAAGGAACATGATAGTACTGGATGTGCGGTTGATGACTGCACTCCAAATGCTCCAAGTGATATCGCGCCGCAGAGAGGCTGATCACAAAAACCACAAATCTCTCTCTCTGTGATCACAACACACAGGTCGCAGTGGGCCGCTGGCAACTTGTCGGAGCTTGGGCTTCCGAGGTAACATCTAGGAAAGTGTTCGGTGCGGTGGATGGTCAGTGAGTCGGACTTGGCTCTTGGCACTTGGGGGCCGGTCGCCTTTCATTTCTCTCTGCGTTCTCGCGCACATGGAGTGCGAGGTGTCGCCGTCCCAAACTGGCACTCTGTGTATCGCGCGCCTCACTCCCCTTTCTCCCGGGGCGGGGCGCGGGGGCGGCGGGTGTGCGGCGGGTATCGAAGGCTAGCTCAAAAGAAACAACGCGAAATCATCGCGCCTGAGCAGAACACAAGAGGCGCCCGGGCGCTGCGGTAGCCTCGCGATGGCCGCGCCAGATGCGCACCGCGACAAGCGGGCCAAGGCGGGGCCCGTCCTCTATCCGATGGATGAGCCTCTGCTGCGAAAGTGCGACGCGCTGATGAAGAACCTCGCGAAAAAGTCCCAGGCGCGCAAAACGCTGCGCACACAGAAAGCCCATGCTCGCCGCGTCACAGCACGCATCGTCGTCGGCAGGAGCCGCCCGTATCCTCCTGAGCCCGCGCCTGCCAGCGACTAATGTCTCCACGGCTCCTCCACACTAGACGGCTCCCGGCCAGCGACAGCTGTCTGCGCCTCTCTGCCCTCAGGCAGTGCACTTCTTGCGGCCCGTCGACTGGAAAAAGATGGGATTGGTCGACTACCCAAAGGTGGCCGCCTCTCTCCGCTCCCCGGGCCTCGCACGCCCCAGCTCCTCACCGCCGCCTCGCGCAGCAGCCGCGGCAGCGGCAGCAGCCACCGACGCCAGCGCCCTCCTCTTCCCACTCCCTGCTGTGCCCAACGCCACCACTGCGTCCCCTCGCAGCTCATCAAGCATCCCATGGACATCGGCACTGTCTCGGAGCGGCTGGGCAAGAACCATTACGCCCGCCTTGAGGACTTTGCCAACGAGACGCGCCTCATCTGGAAGAATGCCTTCATCTTCAACGCGCCAGACTCGCTCTACTTCAAGGCGGCAAAGTCGCTCTCGGACGCCTTCGAGAAGGCGATGGAGAAGATGGAGGCGGAGGTGCGCGGCCCCGCCGCCGCCATCGCCGCGCCGCAGACGTCGCCCTCCCAGCCCTCGTCCTCGGCCAGACTCCCTGCTCGCCCGCCCTCCTCACCCTCTTCCCTCCCCTCCTCTCGCCCACCCTCCTCGCTAACCCCCGGCCGGCGCACCGTCCGCAGGCCGAGGCGGTCAGCGCGCTGCAGGTCGACACGATGGAGCGGTGCAACATCCTGCTCGCCGACATCCAGGCCAACCCGCTCGCCGAGTGGTTCCTCGACCCGGTGCGCAGCAGCAGCAGAGTCCCGCCTCCGAGGGCCGAGCCCCGCCCCTCGCCACCGCCCCCTTGCCTCCACGCTCCCGCCGGCTCATTTTGCCGTGTCGCCGCACGCCCCTGTGCTCCGTCACCTTCCTACCGAGCCGCACAGCCACCCCGCCGCAATTAAAGCTCGCGAGACCGCACCGCCGCCGTTCTGGAGGCAGCCCTCGGCTTGCGGGTGTCGGAAGCGGCAGACAACAGCCATCCACACTGCTCCCCGCCCTGCTCTCCTCCCCTACGCTCCCTCCTCCACACGCTGCTCCTCACCTCCACACACTGCTCACTCCCCTCCACACACCGCTCCCCCCCC